TTGCTATATTATTAAAATAATCTCAAAATAAAACAATTTTTCAAAGCATAACATTTTTAAATCCGATGTATATAAACACACACACTGGTGGTAGTTAGCGATGGGGGCTGTTTGTAGCTAGCCAATCACTATTTAAGAATCTTCCAGCTCAACGTCTCTTCAACCACTGGAGGAGCCACACCTGTCTGTAAAGCAGTGAATTTCTTTCATCCGGTGGACTATGACCAGTGATCTAACTGCCATCTTAGCACCACCTGTCGGCAAGAGGTGAGATTTATGCTAATTAAAGACAAACTAATGTTGTAATGAGTTCTCCAACTCTAACATATGCACCAGCATTATTATGTGAACAGCACTTTCTCCCACTGAGCCACAGCCATTGTTTTCCTTATGCAGCTAATTCACTAGGTGAGAGGTAAAGTCACAGGGCCGGAGTGCGAACCCTGACTAAGCAAGTTCCCCCTCAACTGTGTCACCGGGGATTAAAGGCCTTTTACCCACGACCCTGTGGCCCTCTTAAGGAGGATTATAAGGGTAAATTGTTGCTCCTGATCCAGGGGGTGGCACGCCATAACATCAGCAGGCCCCAAGCATAACAAACCACTGATGTGAAATAGCTTCAAAACTCATCTTCTTAGGTGTATTTCATTCTTACCAGAAAACCTGAATTGTTGTCCAAGAGACATCGGAAACGGCAGACAAAGTTTCTCTCCAGAAAGGAGGAGTTCTCAGGTGGAAGGTGGTCAGGGTTGTAGCTCACCATGCTGTGGGTCTCGTCTGAAACTGACTCTGAAGAGTCTGAGGAAACAAAGTGTGTGTGTGTATATATATGTATACAGTATACACTATTGCATTTTTACTGCAATTATCAACCACAAAACTGCATACAAACTTCATAGAAGACCCTGTGGGCCACTGACACCTTAATTCAAAATGACAAGTGTGTGTTTTGTTTTGCATCTGCACAGCGTGACCACTGACAGCGTGTGTATGCTGCTGAGAGAGTGTGTTTGTTTTGCTGAAGTGTCCTGCTGCTTGTGAGAGCTAAAGGACAGTAAGTTGTTGGTGACATTTGCTTCTTAAAATGGGAGCCGTCAGTTAAAAGTCACCGTGTCACTTCCCATCGCATCAGTTGGTGCCGAGGCGCCTCCACTTACTGACCACTTCATTAGGTACACTGCACAAGGTTCCTGTCCCTTTTTGACAATTTTTTTTTGGAGCATTTAATTTAAAAAAAAAAGGCGTTGACATTTGTTGGTGCCACGCTGTACTGCAACTGCAGGTTGAACAGAAGCCTGGTGACGTTCACGCTTTAATGTTCTTTCAAATGTAAATTGTTTATTAAAGGCATTTGAAACTATTAGAGAGAATGATAGCTGGACACAGACCTGCTGAAGGTTCTGTGTGTGTTCCTGGGCCCTGCCGGGGGTCCAGAGCCCAGTGAAGGTTCCTCCTGAACTCCTGCTGGTCCTCGGTGTGGATCATGTCAAACACACTCTGGTGCATCACATCAGTCTAACAGGAGAAACAGTAAAAACAAACAGATTCAAAAGATATTCACAAAAGGGCAGCTGTGGCTCAGCGGTTGGAATGGGTTGCCTTCCAACCTGAAGGACGCTGTTCAATTCTGAACATCTTAAAAATGTGAGAATTGTATATACAGCAGTACACACTATTATCAATATTATTAGAGGGCATTTCTGAGGAAGGCAGAAGCTGATTCAAAAAAAACAAAACACGTACCACGATACATATTACATCATGTAAGCCTTAAAGACTCAATCTTCAGAAGGACAATCAGATTTCTTTGCACAGCACCGCTAATTGCTGAAATACTCAAATACATAAATAAATACAGGTGACAGATATGTGGAACCATGCCCTGTACTTGGTAACTCGTACAGTCAAAGTATGTTTTTTAGGAGTAGTAATATTCAAACAATACTCCAGGGGTACTCTTACAGTTTACCTTGAAATGAAGCCAAAAGAAAAGAGTCACTAATCTAGAACCTAAGACCAAGACCTGCTGTGACGCTGATCCCTGTGTCCAGTGTGTCTGGCCATATATTCCTAACCTTCAATACAAAAAAAAATCCAAAAACTTAAGTTTCATCAGAAATCCTGTGTGTTATATAATGTGTTATATGTAGTAGAAAACAAAACAAAACCTAACATTAACATATATATATATGTATTGCATACAATGTTTTACAGTGTTTAGAAACACCCTTTACTTTTCAATAATTTCTGTTGTGTGTGTTTTTTACTGTTAGTGGCAATAGTGACAATTCACTCAAAGACGGTTTGACCTTCATGTCACCTATGGCTCTTGTAGGATGACAACTCCTGCCTGTGGTCTTGATTCCAGGCATCATTGCAAAATCCAGATGATAGGATAAGTTTTTCTTATACTGTATGCTATTATTAATGTCAGAGAAAAGTCACTATTTTATGAAAACCCTGGATTTGATCAGATCTTGCTAGAATATACTTTTACCAGTTTTTTACCTGATGGAATCCAAGGTAATCTCGCATGGTGCTGGAGCAGAAGAAGATGATTCCCTCAGCTGTGACCACCAGGACAAAACCATTCAAGGCCTGCAGACAAAGCAGTTCAGGTAGTGTTCAGTGAACATGACGGCCACTACCAGGACCAGGTACCAGGACCAGGTACCAGGACCAGGTACCAGGACCAGGTACCAGGACCACCAGGACTACCAGGACCAGGTACCAGGACCAGGTACCAGGACTTGAGCGTGATATACAGTATAAATAAAAAACAGGTTTATAGTTAAGTGCTTTAAACTCAAATTGACATCAGGAGTTCTGATTTGAAATTATAAGGAAAATAAAATGAACTGAAAAGAAGAATTTTTAGGTCTAGAAGAAGTCTTGTAGAGGAGGAGAAGACTTAACACCATCATCGCCCCTCTTGCTCCTCCTCCTCCTCCTCCTCCTCGTTTCCCCCGGCCTTAGGTGTTGGTGAGGAGGTGTTGACGTGGAGTCCTGGAGCTGGAGAGAGCAGTGGCCTCCTGCCAGTGTGACAGATGATGATGTGATCCCTGCATGAAGTCTGGAGACTCTGAACGTCACTACTGAACCTAGTTTCCATGGTTTACCAGATTGACACAGATATGTTTAAACCATCTCTTCTACTTCACACAGAGGTTGGCTCACAGCTGTGTGTGGTGACTTTAAGACATGAAAAAGAATCTGGAAAAGGGTTTTAAGATGAAAAGGTTTCATTCTTAATAAGAGAACATTAATCTTGTAAAAAACAATAATTAAATAATACAGTGAAAACGTGTGTGTTCATAAAGGCATGTTTTTCATTGTGTGCAGTTAACACTCGCACTATATAAATATTTACTCTGTATTCATCACTCACTCTCATGTTTGCCTAACCTCAATGTCTCCTGGGAGCATGTATGTGTGTGTGTCTGCATGTAATAGCCGTCCTCAAAAGGTGCAGGATATTATAGGTACACTCTCAGTTAGTGTAAGACAAATACTCCAGTCCAACTCTTTCAGTCTGCTGTTTTTTTGCAGAGCAGCAGAGGTTTTCATTTTCAGCCCTGACCCAGAAGACCTTGTAAAAACGAACAGACACACACACACACAAACACGCAGGCAAACACACAGTGGATCTTCCAACCCCCTCTCTTTAATTATTTGTTCACTAACTCTTTATAATTCATAGACTGCTGTCTGTCAATGGAATAGGCTGAGAGCTACACTGCGGCTGCTGCTGAGGCTGCTGCTGCTGCTGCTGCTGCTACTTCGGCTTCTGCTGCTGCTGCTGCTGCTGCTCCTGCTGCTACTGCTGCTGCTGCTGCCGCTGCTGCTGCTGCTGCTTCTGCTGCTGCTGCTGCTGCTGCTGCCGCTGCTGCTGCTGCTGCTTCTGCTGCTGCTGCTGCTGCTTCTGCTGCTGCTGCTGCTACTGCTGCTGCTGCTCCTGCTGCTGCTGCTGCTACTGCTGCTGCTGCTACTACTGCTACTACTGCTACTGCTGCTGCTGCTGCTGCCGCTGCTGCTGCTGCTGCTTCTGCTGCTGCTGCTGCTGCTTCTGCTGCTGCTGCTGCTACTGCTGCTACTGCTGCTACTGCTGTTGCTGCTGCTGCTGCTACTACTACTGCTACTGCTGCTACTGCTGCTGCTACTTCTGCTGCTGCTGCTGCTGCTGCTCCTGCTGCTACTGCTGCTGCTGCTGCTACTTCTGCTACTGCTGCTGCTGCTGCTGCTGCTCCTGCTGCTACTGCTACTGCTGCTGCTACTGCTGCTACTGCTGCTGCTGCTACTGCTGCTGCTACTGCTACTGCTGCTGCTGCTGCTGCTACTGCTGCTGCTGCTACTGCTGCTGCTGCTACTACTGCTACTACTACTGCTGCTGCTGCTGCTGCTGCTTCTGCTGCTGCTGCTGCTGCTTCTGCTGCTGCTGCTGCTGCTGCTCCTGCTGCTACTGCTGCTGCTGCTGCTGCCGCTGCTGCTGCTGCTGCTTCTGCTGCTGCTGCTGCTGCTGCTGCCGCTGCTGCTGCTGCTGCTTCTGCTGCTGCTGCTGCTACTGCTGCTGCTGCTCCTGCTGCTGCTGCTGCTACTACTACTGCTACTGCTGCTACTGCTGCTGCTCCTGCTGCTGCTACTGCTGCTGCTGCTGCTCCTGCTGCTGCTGCTGCTGCTCCTGCTGCTGCTGCTACTGCTGCTGCTACTGCTACTGCTGCTGCTACTACTGCTGCTGCTACTGCTGCTGCTGTTACTGCTGCTGCTGCTGTTGCTGCTGCTGCTGCTCCTAGTCCTGTGACAGCTGGTTTAGAAAATGAATTCACACAAGGAAATTAGTTTTTTTTTTCATGATACATTTTGCGATAGGTATACAAATTAATATTATAGAAAAAAATAAATGTAATGTTTTGAATAACAAAATGTTCTTCTGAACATATAAATATAAGTTTTGCCAAATGCACACCTGTTTTCTAAAGTGTACATCTGTCTAGTTCTTTCCACAAACGTGTGACTGTGATTGTGTTTTGCTCACCTTCACAGGGTCACATCCCATAATTCCACAAGACTTTATATATTTACTGTGATCTGTACATGTGTTGATTAGCTAAATTAAGTTTTGCTATTGTCACCTTACTACTCTGATATACCGATTCACCCACCTGCATCAGCAGCTCCCCCTCAGGTATGCGGCCGCCGTCAGGGGCCGACATGGTGTCACCATCGTCCTGCACGCTGCTCTTGGTGGTGCCACTGGACAGCTGTTTCTTCCAAGCTGTTATACAGAAAACAAGTGCAAAAAAGAAACAGTGGAAATAAGTGAAAGTCATTTTTATTATTATTTCAGTCCCAATATCAGTGTTAGTCTGACTAAGGCTTGACTGGACTTCACGTCCTCCACAGGTGTTCAGGATGGAGGCTCTAACACTTGGTTAGAGTGACACTGAGTGGAGGATGGTGGAAAACTCAACACAACTCTGAACTCTAAAAACAACCGAGTTTAAATTGCACCGTCAAACTATTTTGTTAATGTTGCCTGTAAATAAATCGGTGTTTTTAGTAGATGAGATTGGTGATGTTGAAGTTCTTTACTGTCCTGCACTGGTTCAGGTTTGCAGTACACTCTGCACTCACTCTGTTGGTGTCACAGCTGAATGTAGTAAAAGCCCTGGAAGCTCAGAGAAATGCACAACAAACATGTCAACGATGAATAATTAACGGGTAAAAGTGGTTCAGCTATTTCTCTAGCCTGACCTCAGGATTTGAAAACTGCAAGAAAAACAGCTAAAGGTGAGAAGGGGCTGGAATAGACCGAGGTGGAGGAAGCGGAGGAGGAGGCACAGAGGACACAACAGCCAATAAAAACGTCACAACAACTCCTCAGCATTCTGTACATCTGCAGCATGAATATGTCAATAATGTAAATATGATGTGCAACATTACTGGGGGCTCACATGCTTGAAACTCATGTTTAAAAAACAACATTAAGATGTCATAAATTCGTATAAAAGCGTGGGATGTGGTTGTGTTCAGACCTGTGTAGACTAATACAGTAGTGACTACGGTTCATGACATAAAGTGAATGACTGACTTAAAGGTTCACCCACTGTAATCTTTTGTGCCATTAACTGAAAAGTACCTCTCTTCTGATGCTAACAACTCAACAACTCAGAGGTGGAGAAAGAGTTGACCAACAAATTTGAGGGCAGTCAAAAAGGTTCACGTATGTAACAACTGATTAAACTGAAGCTGTACTTTTACTGTACTATTACTATTACTTGGTAACAAAACTGTTTGTTCTCTGCCTGAACCAGAGATTTAGTCAGGGAGGATGTATTATAAAACACACTGGGTTTTTTTTTATATACAAAGTATTTGATATGTTTTATCCCACTTACACAGACCAAACCAAAACTATTGGCTCAAAATTACACATCACTACTTCTTTAATGGCAGGGTCTCAAACTGAAATGAGCTGGGATTAGAGTCTGAGGAGGTCACAACAAAAACATGCACTTTTAAACATAAAACAGTACATACCGGTACATTTTTCTAAATTTTGTATTTACAAGAATGCAAAGGAACCTTAAAAAGTAACAAATTGACAGAAAAGACGTGGCCATGTACACGATGCTACTGTCATTTAACTGATATGTTAGTTTTGGGCTGTCAGAGTAAAACAAAGGTTTTTCTTTTCTGCTCATATTCCTGCCATGTATCCTCTAGAACAGTCCTGCAGCAACAATAACAAAGGGGGACAGTTTTATGATTTATTTTGTGAATTATACAGTTAGACTATGTCTATTTTCCCATGTGTACAGTACTCTTTTTGATGTTAACCATTTTTGGCAAAGGCAGTTTTGCAGTGTGTCATCTCTGCTATTCAACAGTGTAAAGAGAACGTGAACTCAGCAGATATTGTGGGTTCATGCACAGTGTAAGTGTAAAAAGCAGCTCTTAAAAGGTCGAAGGAGTCAGAAGTTCTCTCCACCTCTCCTCCACTGGAGCAGCTGTAAATGGAATTGTTGTGTATTATCACACAGTGTTTTCTGTCTCAGCACCTCCTCCCTGTCTCCTGCTCGTCTCCTCAGAGCCACATTAGTGTCTTCTCATGACCAAGGGTATAGAGAACAGCCATCCTACAGTACAGCCTGAGGGGAGGGGGTTGAGTGGGGGTCGTACTGAGTTCAGGCACTTCTGTGGTGACCTGATTCTACAGAGTCGGCGACTAACACTGAACGCCAACGGGTTTTTAGATAATATACAGTACTTTTTAGGTTGAATACTGTATTTTGGGTTTCTCAGTATTTGACTAGAAATACAGTAGGTCATGGTGATACAGTGTTAATGAAAAACATAGCACTATTAAAAATACATTTCTATACAGTTTGATTTACCACTGTTTGTTAGAGTTTAAAAAAAAAACTAAAACGTTCTAATATTTAAAATTTGAATTTCATGCTAGTCTGTCCAATAAATCTTCAACTATCACTTAAGCTTCATCGAGTCGCCACGGACAAAATTTCTTCTTGACACAGAGCTGCGTTTCCTACCTGAGAAGAAGCTCTTGTTGCGGAGGAAGCTAACGCTGAGCCTCAGGATGGAGAGTTTGTCCAGACTGGAGATGACGTCCTCGGGGAAAGGCAGCAGACGAGCCAGATGCTCCAGTTCTGAGTTCAGACGCTCACGATGGCGTTTGGACGGGTTGGACTTCACCCCTTCTGCAGGGGTCTGCTTGAGTCTGAAAGAAAGGAAAAACACAAAACATCAGTCTTTGTAAGTTGACCGTAGATCAGAATTTACAAAATAAACACATTATAAATTCTACTTTGCATGTGTCAACATGTTTCC